TTGGGACTCAGACTCAGTCGCAATATTCAAATCTAGGCTGAAAACTCACTTGTTTAGTTTAGCTTTTGGTAGTTAATGTTTCCCCTTGGATAAAGGCAGCAGATCCAGGGGTCCATGGACGCAGGGAATTATAGTAAACTGAGACGCTGGTGCTGTCGTCCCGCCGCTCACACGCGATCGCTCAGGTTTGTGGACGGTGGAGCGGAAGGATGCCAGATTGTTTCAGGGTGCTCCCGTGTCTGTGTGTCCTTTTGGTTCTCTCCTTTTAGTTAAGCTGTTATAGTCAGATCTGCCGGAGTCATTAGCCACACTCTGGAAATGATTTACTTATTATTATACAGACACCCATACATAACTAAACTAACACCATCTCCCTACCTTTCTTCCGAGTAAACGACTGCCCACCTGTCCGGCCGGACACTGATGGACGATTGTCTGTCAAGCTCTCCTGCTACCCGCTTCAGACCAGTTGCCCACACCCCAGTCACCGCCACCTGCCTTGAACTAGCTGCCCACCTGACACTGAAGTGGACTCCCAACTATTACTACTACTACTACTACTATTAATATTAGTAGTATAATAATTTTGTAGGTAGTTTGACCAGAGGAGGATGGGTCCCCCCTTGTGAGCCTTGGTTCCTCCCAAGGTTTCTTCCTCAGCTCTGAGGGAGTTTTTCCTGGCTCGCTCACCTGGAGGATTTACATTTCATGTTAAAACTTTGTCCTTAATGGATTTCTGTGAAGCTGCTTTGTGACAACATCAGTTGTAAAAAGCGCTATACAAATAAATTTGACTTGACTTGACATTGTCCAAGTCATCTAAAGTCTTCTCCAAATGTTCTGCAGCAAACTTCAAATGAGATTCAGTAATGGGGTTTTGCGATGGCGAATGGAGACCGTGGTGATGGAGTGCACTGCCTATTGTTTTCTCAGTGAAAACTGTACTTGCTGTTTCCAGGCCTTTCTGGATTTTTTTTTTCAAGTGGTCCTTGGCTCTTGGGCTGTTCTTGTGACTAACGTTCTGACTGCCCGATCGTAAATCTTGCAAGGAGCTCCTGTGTGTGGCTGGTTGATGGTTGACTGATGTTCCTTCCATTTACAGGTATTGGCCCCAGTGGTGCTTATAGAGACATTTAAAAGTTGAGTGATACTTTGGTAACCAGTACCGATACTGTGCTGCTGACTGTCTTGTTGTCTTGGTAAAGCTCTTTTCCTCAACCCATCATGAGATGTTCATTGTGTGACAGCTTGGTGATGATGTGTTTACGAGTGTTAAATGTCAGATCAGTGATTGCTTTAAAAGAGATTGAGAATTAAATCTAGTGCAAATGAGCAGCAAAGTGCTGCTTACACTGGCTTTGGGTTTCACAGCTACACCCTTCCACAACATTGTTTCACTTTTCTTCTTCCTGCTTGTTAAAACTTGACCACGGTGTTGTTTTCACTGGAGATGCAGGAATGTCAGTGGAAGTCAGTCCAAGGCTGGGGGCATTCTCTGTCAGAAACCCTTAATATAAAAGATACACAGCAATTTATAGTGCCCATCAGTTATTAAATACAGTGTTAGTTTTGTGCAAACTGTAGATGACTAAGTTATTTTCTTTAATGCCCAATGACATTTAAACAAATGCCTGTCAGATGACCTTTGACTGTGTGGACTAATCTACTTCCTTTTTGTCCTGAATGTTCCCATGTCGTGCAGCAAGTATTTTTTTTTGATTTCCTGTTTTATTGCTGGTGGTGCTGTGTATCACATTATTTCTAGAAAGACTTGTCGGTTTTGCTGCCAACCTAGGTCATCATTTATGAACAGCAATAGATAAGAGTTTAAGAGAAACCATTGTATTTACCCTTAAACAATGATATCTTGGCAAGTAAAAGTATCTTAAATCTAGTTGATATCTCTAATATTCCTCATGTTGAGTAATTTTAGAAAGTAAAATCATAACTATGTTGGCAGATAATTTTGCTTACTGTAAGAAATATGCTTGAAACAAAATTATCTGCCAATATAGTGAGAATATTAAGTCCTAAGTTCTGTAGTCTATGTGACTTTATTGCTGGTCTGTCGTTTTAAGCAGCAGCTCATGCTGCAAGAACAATCCCAGCTTCTGTCAAGAGTCAAATGATAAACAGGCTGATGATACAGACAGTGCAGTGCTGACATGCACTGAAAAAGGTGTGTCCTGAGGTTGAATTCACTGGTTTGATGTGGACCAAGATGCAAAATACAGGACCCCAAGACGAATACACCTCTTGAACCTCCAGAATGTCTCAATCAAAATTCTGGAGGGTCCCTGAAAATAAACTTTAAAATTATGACGTTATGTTGCTCAAACACAAATTCAGTGAAGCTCATTGTTTATCTGCTTCCCCGCACAATCAGCTTCTGTATCAGACTGGTTCACCCAGTTGGTCCTTCATAGTCTAGAAACTGTAACTCTGCCCGGATTCGCCTGAAAAACCTTACAACATGCCATAGCATATTGGGACATCTGAAAAGTTGCCCAATTTCCTAACAGTTTGGAGTGAAGAGTGACTGTTCCTCATTTCTCGCACTGAAGACAGAAGAGGAGACGAGGAAGATCTCAGTTAATGTGAGGAAGAGTGCAGAACCACACTAGAACGGAGACTCTACAGAAGAGGAACTGTTAAACCAGACATTTTGTTGCCATTGAAGCATCAGTGCTGGTATGGTGAGGAACCTGCAGCCAACGCTGAAGTAGACAGCAAGCATGTGATCCCCTGAATGCTAGGGGGCATTTCACACACTGGTGTGGACCATCACAAAAAAAGCATATTCTTCAATGGAGACCCATGATTTTTGACAGACCACGGTTCATTTGCTTAGTGTGCACCCAAGTGCAGGAGTGTTCATACCTGTCAAACTAAGGAAAAAGTTAGACTGGTCCACAAAAACAAAGCAGGTGTAAAATCCTGATGATTGTGATTGTTCAAATAATGAAACCTAATGTCAAAAGTTTCAGACTACAGGTCAGTAAACGAGTTACACCAAAGGGAGCAAATTTGTGGACGTGTTAAGTATTTTCTTGTTTTGGTTTGCTTTGTGACTTTTCTCTTAAGCTGAAATCCTATGTGAATGCAAGCAGCATTAAAGTGCCCACCCAACAGCTTTCCATAAAACACCAAAGTAACTCGCCAGTGGAACCAGTGGAAGTAAGACGTGCAAACCCAAAGGTAAATTATGACTTAACTTCATTCTTCACTTAAACAAAGACATCATTTAAAACATGAAAGTAAAAAAAACACAAGGCTATACAGCTTCCTCACACTGCAGCATTGCCACATCCGCTCTCGTCCTGCACTATCAAGATGCTGAACAAATGGCCGTTTACATTTTTCCTGTTTCCTGTTTTTCGGCTCCAGATGCATATGTTCTTTTTGTTTCAGACATGATTAAGCCGTCAGCTTTTTCTTCTCACTCAAGAGTCTTAGACAACATAATGGTACAGTAATAACTCAGCAGTTGTTAGAGGGCTTCTTGTTGGTCACGGGGCCTTAAGTAGCCACTTATGTTGCTTATTAGGTAGAGCACTGAGTGCGTTTACATGCCCCCAATAATCCAATCATAATCGGATTTCTGCAGTTATCTGATTATTCAAATGGTCATGTAAACAGGACACTGATTTCTTAGATCGGAGTAAGGTCTAGAAATCTGATTAAGAAATCTGATAAAGAGGCTGGATTTTAGCTCAGTAATCAGATTCCTCAATGTTGTAAACTCTTACTCTAAACTCTTTTGGATCTCTCAGTCTGAGCATGTGCGAAAACAGATGGCAGTACCGGAAATAAGCGAGCAGCGTCGCCGCGAGACGCAGCGAAATGCTTTTGGAGCGACGTTGAAACCAAATACTTGCTTGACGAAATAAAGGACTTAAATATTCTTCATCTTCTAGATGATGTATGTTCATATTTTCAGGTAAAGTGGTGCAATGTTTTTAAAAAAAAGCCACAACATGAAGTTTGAGTTTTATGTTACGTTTCCGTCACGTCTTCTTCTATGAGTTTATTGGCTGGTTACTGTCTGACTCATGTAGAACCTAGAGAGTTTCCCATTATCTGATTACTCAAGTGCATGTAAATGCATTGATCAGATTACTGACAAAATCTGATTTTCTGCAATTATCGAATTATTATTCTCACTGACAGAATAGTTCTGAATATTACATCAAAGGTGCTTTCATTTTGGCGGTTCCTTATGCCAAAACAGTTTTACACCCTTCCGTTACAGAGTACAGGTTGAGCTCAGCTTTTTCAGTGATCTCCAGATGAAGCTGAGTGTGGTTTAGTTCCAGTCAGTCTGTAAAGAGCTTCGAGTGACTTCACGTTTGCTGAACTGTGTTCTGTTGTTTTCTGGTTGATTCTAGTTTGTTTAGTTGTTCTGTCACAACTGCTGACCGAAAAGCTCATTTGAGATCAAGGACAGATTCAGAATTTGCTGTAATTGTCAAATGTGCCCATTTTGTTTTTTTTTTTTAAAGGGTAAAGAGATGTTATAGAGTCGTTATTTAGCAACCAATGCTTAGTGAAATGATAGTTATTATAAAAGGATATATTACAGCACAAGAGCACTTCTCAAGCAATCAGACTGTGTCGCAAATAACTGTTGCATGAAGTAGCATCAACAAAGAAAGAGAAAGTAATCACTTTGGAAGATCAAGCAATAACAGTTGACACTGTTGTCTCCATCATTGAACCTACCACATTACAGCTCAGGGTGCAATAAACCATTAACAGCCCACTGCTTTACCTGTCTACAGACTCCCTTATGTTTTTGGGGAGATTGTTTCCATGGGATTTCACATGCTGCTGAACATCTGTTCCACTGAACATCAATGCCCAAACAGCCTTAAGTGAAACTAAATTACTTTCATATGAAACATGCAAAGTTCTGTTGTGATAGAAATGAGCTTTGAGCAGTTTTTCCTTGAAAGGGTTAAGGATTAAAGCTGCAGCCAGGGGATTTCTATGTCCACCCCCCTTCCTGCAGTCTGACTTCTGCACTTGTAGTCGGTGTGCAGGCAGAATGTTTAGATGTGGATTTTGTTTCCATTCAGAACAGTAGTTTTGTTTCTTCCACATCTGAGGAAGCCATGGACGTCTTCCATCCTCTATCGGTCAATGAGTCTTACGACAACAACTACGAGGAATATTACAACTTAGAAGCATCGGTAGACTACGGACCTTGCAAGAAGCATCAGGCAAGAGAATTCAGCCAGAGTTTCCTGCCGGTGTTCTACTCGCTTACTTGCGTGCTTAGCATCATTACTAACATAAGCTTAATCATTACATTCATCAGGTTTAAATCTCTGAGGAGAGCGCTTCCACTCAACATGGTCAGTGCCGATCTCATGTTTACTTTAACTCTTCCCTTCTGGGCAGTTTACGCAGACAGCGAGTGGGTCTTTGGGCCCCATGCATGCAAGATTGTGACTTTGTTCTACATGGTTGGATTGTACTGCAGTAACCTGTTTGTTGGATGTATGATCCTGCAGAAGTATGTGGACATGGCATGCATGCTGCTGAGCAGTGCCAGGAGGAAGAGAGCACTGTGCGCATTCCTTTGGCTGCTTTCTCTTTTGGCTACAGCTCCACATCTGTACTTCGTGGAGGCTCACGAATTCCAGGGCCAGAAGATCTGCACTAACCACTTCTTGCATAAACACGGCTGGAGAATTTACATGAGGTTTCAGATGATTGTCCTGGGATTCTGCATTCCTCTCCTGGTTCTGGTCTTCTCCACCGTTTTGATTGTCCGCACTGTGGCCAGAACGACACTTCTGAAAAGGTCCAGGACCTTGACACTAGTGACGGGATTTACCGTCTTGTTTTTTGTCCTCTGGTTCCCCTACAGTCTGGTCATTTTCTTGCATGCTTTGCAAGAGCTGCATGTCATATCTGAGTGCACCACAAGCCTGCACCTGGACCTGGCCGTCGTGGGGACAGAGTGCATTGCGTTCATGCACGTTTACCTGAATCCCATAGCATACGTTCTTCTGAACAAGAGGATCTGGAGAAAAATACGAGGGCGATGCTTGGCTCCAAGGGAGAACCTGCTTGGTCCTTCTGAAAGCACAGGCAGTGAAACGACTCAGGACAGTGCCGTGGAGTTGAAGGCATTTGGGATGTACCTCGGCTCTGAATCAGAAGGCTCTAATGCCGAGAGACAGGGACACTTCTTACCACATGTAACATAGTCTTGGTAATCTGACTGTGACGACTTTTATGACTTCCACATCTGGTACATTTCTACTGCGTGCAACGATTCCCAATCAGCGAAAGAGAGCAACAAATAACTTTTTTTTTTCTTGGCAGTTATTTAGTTTGCTTCAAGAAAATGACCATACAAAAATTGTAACACTCATTCACAAGTAATTTTAATATCCTTTAAAAACACGCACTGATACGTGTTGCTGCTTGGTTGTGGATGTGTTTGTGGGTGGAGATCAGTGTGAGCAGATCATTGTATCATTGAAAATTTCTGGTCTTTTTATGAAAAGAACCTGAAAAGGACATGGTGGTCTTCATCAAACTGGTCGCTGTTCTAATGAATCTGCCTAGCTGGATTGTAATAGGTCTGGATGTGAGCTGAGAACAGCAGTTAGTTTCTTCACAAATTGCTGAAGCCCCACCTCACACGGTCTCTTATCAGCTGAAGCCTGAGCACACTCTGTTAAAATTTCATCAATGGAAAGCAGTTTTCACGCAGTGTGAAAATCATGTGTTTCTGTCTGATGTCCAAACACCAAAATATCTTTGTGAACATTATAGCTTAAGGCTTGATGTAAGATTAAAATGATTTACCATTTATTATTATTTTTTGGCTGGAGAATGATACAGTATATTTTCACATAAATACATTTTAAAAGTATATTAAAAGTAAAATTGCAATGGTTATGTACTTTACCAGTAAGATAATTGCATGTCATCATAAAATGAGAAATTCATTGTATTTTAACAAATTAAAGCAGTAAAGTTTGCAAGTAAAGCAGTAAACTAAAGCAATTGTTGTAAATTTGGATTTATGCGGTCTTTATACGGATTTTAAGATACAAATTATATGATATATAAACCTTGTATCTCCATTTTTGTTGTTTTTCATTTTTGGACAGAATTTGAAAAAAGCAGTTGCCCTTTATGCTGTGTCAAACTTTCAAGATGAACAGACCGACAAAAATGGTCCAAAATTACTTGGAAAAAAAATTCTTCATTTACTTCCCTTAATTTTTCCTTCTCCTGTGAAGTTACTTTTTTGGAGATATAAAATATAATATAAAATATCCCAACAGCAACAATATATATATTATGCATTGAATATGCATAGAACATTAGGCATTGAACACCACACCACACATTGAACAATAGTGAGTTGGTATGGCGACACAGAGGCATGCGTTACACTAACATTGGCTGCTGTTGATCTTGCACTCTGCACACTCTGCTGAGCTGCTCTGAAGAGGGATTTTATATTCTGTGTTTCTTCACTGCAAATTTGGTCTTTAATTGCATTTGAAGTAGCATTAAAAATCTTAAGAAGTTTGCTTGAATATAATTCCAGGACGGTGCGCACACCCTGTTTGGAAACTGAAAGTATTTTCTTCTTTCCTTAATACAAATCCACCACCCGCCTGAGTCTCTTATTTCCTCAGAGTTTCCTATGTTTGTGCCAATCGTCCAAAGCTGGAACGCCCCGTGGCTGCAGTCCAGAGGCCGTCTTACAAAAACTTCCTGTCTTTAGTCCTGAGTTCAGATCTGACAGGTAAAGATAAGATTTTTCACAAATTCATATTACAGAAGCAAATCTGATCTCAATTTTACAATTAGGAAATCGTAAACTACTCGATCAGAGTCAATTATGAACTCCCTGCTGAAAAACACCTGTAGAATCATTAAGTCTTCTGTTGGTTCCTGGTGGTTTTGTAATGTGTTTACACTTTTTTCAATGGGTTGATGTCACAATGTAAAGGATCCTTATGACATTTGATGATTTCCTAATGAGATCTAAAGGTGTCCTACAGGAAACTAAGGGTCCTTTTTGGAAACCATTAAGCCAATTCCCTTTAGACAGGGCTGTCATGTCTGTTACCAAGCAACCAACCATACAGCTGAAACACAAACATGTCATCAAAATATCATTAAAAATGTGAGTTACAGCTGCTGTTACTGATGTAAAAAGGTCAAACTAAACAAAAGTGTTATAAACTGTAAGTAGTGAATACTGTGAGAGCGCCCCCTGCTGTTTATCAGAGTGTCACTGCTCCCCAGTTTCAGTCTCCATTTCCCAAACGCTTTAGCCGAGCACACTAACGTTACTCCTCCTAATAAACAGACACACGTTCAGCTCCGTCTCCTCATTATTCACCACCATCACTGTAATATTTCATCATCAACATTAACACACGAAGGTGATCAGAGGGGCGGTGGAGATCGAGTCTGCAGCGTCTGAGATCTTTAAAACGCAGAGTTAGAAAAGAAAATCATCTCACAGTGAAAGCAGCGTTTTACAGTAGAGATAAATGGAGCTCATTATGCTGGTAGTGAACTATGCTGCTGACTCAGCTGCCTAAAAACCACAGAAACGGACCTTAAACAGAAGTGAGGACCCTGTTGGGGTTCATCCTAAAGTTAGGACAGGATTTAGGAGGTTTAGTCTAGTTAGGATGTTTGTGTGATGCTGTTTTCTTATCTGGAGTTCATGATGAGATTATGAAGTTAGGAACTGTTATTCTGTAATAGATACTGTCCGAAATTCAGTCCAGACTGAAATCATCATGGAGACTAAACAGGTAATATGGCCTCTGGATTATATTATGCTGTACAGTCCATTTAACAATATCTCTACTTATCTAGTAAGATAAACACAGTTTTACTTTTGCGCGTGAGTAAATATAGATTTACTTGATAAAATATTACTTCAGTTAAAAATATACAGTGCAAAAACTGATATCTTAATCAGCCAGAAAGTCCTGAAAATGAACAGATCTGTTCTGAATTCACTAAATTTGTATGTATGAACTCAACCACCTTTTAGAACCTACCAGAGACGTTTTTTTAGAGAACTGAGACATTTTGGAGCTCTTCACTGTGGAAATAAAATAAAAAGAAATTTTAAGACAGGTTTATTAAAAAAAAAAAAATAATTAGAAAGAAATCTCGCTTTTTAATAGTGAATTAATACAATTGAAAATATTTCAGATAGTTACTTTTCAAGCAGATAAAACTCATACAGACAGTTCTAGTCTAGTCTAGAGTGGATCTTATTTTAAGCACCACAGTATTAATGATTTAAGACCATTTTAAAAACCTTTTTTTTATTTAGGCGCAAATAAATAGTGTTGAAGCTGTTCAGACATTCTCACTGGAAGACATTTTGTACCAACTGAGGTTTTAAGAAAATCTTAAAACAACATTCATCTGCTAGTTTTAGCTAATTTTAGATTAATATTATTATTATTATTATTGTTGTTGTTGTTGTGACACCAAATCAAATTAGTTTTAGTTAAATTTAACCACAACATTTTAAACTGATGAATTATTTACTGATTTTATGATCACAATTTTCAGATCAAGATTTTTTTCTCATGTAAGAAACTTTATTGAGGAGAAATTGTTTTGATTTTATTTTTTTTTTATCTATATACTTCATTGTTCCTATCTATATTTGCACTGAAGTAAAAGTAGTACTTGCTTGTAGATAAGTATTAAAATTAACAGTATTATGAGTTATTTTATAATATCATTTTGATGAATAAATGCTAAATTTGTTCACATCTGCAGCCACTTTGGTCTCCTTAATAGAACTTGGTCATCAAATTAAAATTATAAGTCAACGTACTTTTACTTACGTTTGTTCACAAGCATGTATTTTTGTACTTGTACTCGAGCAGCAAGTACTCGAGTACATCTGCTTTTACTTGGTCCACTTTGACTGGTTGCTATGATTGCTGGTTGCTAATATGATGACAGGCTGAAATAAAAATTCATCATTTAAAATTCCCAACATTAGAAACCAACAGCCTGAATTTGTTGGTGAATTTGCATTAATCGCATTAGCCAGAAGGGGGCGACAATGTATGTTGATTTGAGGTTGAACTCTCACAAAACAATAAAGCTGTGGTCATTTTTCCACTGATGGCCAACATGTGTCATACTTTCTTAGGACATGAAGGCTGAGAAATTACACCATTGTAATGTGGAAACACGTTGAGGCCCAGGTTTATCTTATCCATGGACTTCAGATGAACTCTTGACACACCCTCTGCTTTCCTGAGCACTTTTGAACAGTTCTTCTTTTCTGCAGTACATTAATGAGTAATCAGTTTCCTCAGTTCTCTTTCTGGCATTAACATCTAATTCCTGATTCCTTTTTTGGGTTCAATTTCATTCTGTTGTGCTGGTTCAGCTCCTGTTCTGCCTCACTGTTGATCACTCCTCTCACTTTGGGGCTTAATAATTTATTTTAACTGAAAAGGATACAAAAAGAGGAGAAAAGAAGCACAAAGATGAGCTTTTAATCTATCCAGTGTATTTACTATTTGTTATAATGAGATATTTGTAAGCTTTTATAAGGTTATTAAACAAATTTAAAAAATTACTTCCACACATTTTAACTTGTGTAAATGTACTAAGTCAAATGATTTCACTATATTGGTAGATACTGTTGCTGGTTTCATGAATATTTCTTAAAATAATCAAAGTTATCTGCCAATATGCAGGGCTGTGATCAAGTATTTGCCACCTTCTAAATTTCTTCTATTTTTGCAAATTTGTAACAGCTGAATGATACAGATCAGACTTCTTCTACTATTACACAAAGATTACCCTAGGAAACACAAAGTGATGTTTTAAATCATGATTTCATTTATTGAAGGAAAAATGCTGCTTAGCTCTAGCTGGCCCTATGTGAAAAAGTAATGCCACTGCTGAGCAAAAGGAACACTAAGGCTCATCTCACGTTTACCAAAAAATATCTAAATGACCCCCAAGACTTTTGGGACAATATTATGTGGACCGATGAGTCAAAGGTGGAACTTTTTGGAAGACATGTGTCCTGTTACATCTGGCATAAAGCTAATACTGCATTCCACCATAAGAACATCATACCAACAGTGAAACATGGTGGTGGTAGTGTGATGGCCTGGGGCTGCTTTGCTTCTGCAGGACCTGGACGTCTTGTCTTAATTGATGGAACCATGAATTCTGCTCTTTATCAGAAAATCCTGAAGGAGAATGCTGCCTGTCAGTTTGTGGCCTACAGCTCAAGTGCAGTTGGGTTATGCAGCAGAAAAATGATATATTGACTACATGTAAGATCGTTTCACTTACCAAGATACCATTTTTTGCAGCGTGGCTTCTTATTTGCCTGAATCCCCACAATGGAACAGCTGCACCGTTTATGGTGGAACTGATCATATACATAAGGCCGTTCCAGCTTCATAGTTCCTGTGCTGGTAGATACTGAATGTTCTGAAAAGTTTCACTGCATAGTGTAAATTATTGAGTATTTAAGTTGTTTTTTGAGCTGCTACTTTTGTACTTCTACTGAAGCTGCTTTTGTTTTTTTTACTGCAGTCATGATTTCACTGTATTACTGGAGGATGTCTTTAGGCTGTTCTACACTCCTTCAGTCTTACACTCTTTGGCTTGTATTGGAGGTTGACTGGTGAATCGTTAAGAATCTTTTCCTTATCAGTGTATTCATAATGTTTATGATGTACAGTAGCCATTTCCTCTATGTTTACCGTGACAGTAGGGCACCTGGCAATGCCCCAGTAACTTATTCATTTACATTTACATTTATGGCATTTAGCAGATGCTCTGCCCTACTATTATGTTTGAAAATCTGGCAACTTTGCAAACAAAATAGTAGGGACAAACAAGGATACAGCCAGTATATGTTGGACTAGAGGAATTGGATAAGAGGAGTCCATTGGCGAGACTCCTAAGGCCACGTTGGCCTACCTGTGTAAAGTGATCAAACTATAAGTCACTCTGGTTAAGAGCGTCTGCCAAATGCCATGTTACATCATCGATGTGTGCGGGTCAGTTTGACCCTGTACAGCTGAATCACCACACAA